TGGGACTAATTTTTCAATTTCACTCCCACTCTCTCCTGCATTGTTTCTTGTATTTGTTTCGTTCACACCAGCAAAGACCTTAGATCTCGCTAATCCTGCAAGAGAGACATATTCCCACAAGCTACTTTTAAAAAACAATTGTGGTTAATATATTACACACGTGCACAGAAGTCCGGCATAATTTATAACACTCCAAATATAATACAAATCTTGCTTGAACCGTTTTCAGGTATCTAAAAGGGCGTCATAAGGAGGAGGGAGAAAACTTGTTCATCTTGGCTTCTGAGGATAGAGCAAGAAGCAATGGGCTTAAATGCAACTCAGCGTCTAATCAGTGTAGCAAAAAGCTATTTGGAAATGCATTTTGTGTGTAGACATGTTATTTCAAAGGAAGATATTTCAAAATAACTATTTCAAAATTAGATATTTCAAAATAACACTGTAGTGTAGACATACCAAGAGGAAGTGACTCACAGGGCTCCTGTTAATCCCATAACAGACCCTGAATCATCTGCACCTCCCCAGTAGTTGTGCCCCTGTCTCAGGACTCCCCCTAAGGTTGTGGCTCAACTTCAGTCTGACAAATGGGGGTGTCTACTGTAGGGGCAATGATGGGGAGGGCAGGGGAACAGACATGCCCCACTATGCTCATCAACACTGGAGAATCAGTCGGTGTGCTTGGAGAGCACTGTCTTCCCAGGCTGCTGTCAACCCAGCTGGTGTCATATCCAGGGGAGACAACGAAAGCCTCTATCACGAGACCAATTCTAACCCATGTAGGGAATCAGGAGTCGTGGATCAAATACTGTGTTCAGAAACAGGATCCCACTGTGAATGGGAACAAGGAGGGTGGAATATTGGGAATGCCTTATCTTAGTCAGGGGAGGCTGATAGTGGACTTAGCCAATGGGCTCTTACAGGCCAATGGTGAAGAGCCAGCAGAAACAGACACCCCCTACACTAATGCCATACATCCATGTGTGGTGGTAAAGGCCCCAGAAGGAGGGCAAGCAGAAGAAGAGGACGCATGGGTGGAAACGTTTCCTGGGGTTTGGGCTAAAAATAAATTGGAGTGTGGAAAACTTGATGCTCAGGTTTTAATCCGAGGACCTGACCCTCCTCCACAGCGACAATACAAGTATCCCCAGGAGGCATAGGAGGCATGTCTCTCTCTCTCTCCAAGAAACAATTCTTCACTTTCTGTAAGCAGGGTAAAGTTTAGACAAATCTGTCAGATTTTCTTGTTTTATGGTTTGGGTTTGGGATCTGATGTCTGTGCATGTTTTACAAGATGATTTGGCTTCTTTCTTTGTAACTAACTTCTAGGCCATGGAGTTTCTCCATGAGTATATTTTGTTACCTTTCCATCTAACCATTATGCTTGCAACAGGAATATGGTTGTGATAATAAACGTTTTCTCTTTTCTTTTGATTAACCTGGCAGTGGTTAATGGTCGTGTCCTGTTTTTACTTTAGGGATGAGATTTCCCCAAATAGTCTCTCCCCTGGTTTCTTTATTAATATTTGGCTGGTGGCAGCGAAGTTTTATTCCCAAAATCTAGGGTTTTAAGATTCTGGGGAAGTTTTATACCAAAGCCTGGAAGATAAGGTTTTGGGGTACACTTGCTGGCCCCCACTTCTCCATTTATCATGCCAGAGTGGGGAAGGAGCCATGACAGAGTTCTCCCCATGTGAGGCTCCCCTTGACTCCCCCGTGTTCTAGGGTCGGAGGGGGCGCCTGTCCAGGAAGGAGTCCTAGAGTGCCCCCATGTCACCCATCACATCTGCCATCCACAGCAACACTCTCTCCTGGTGCCTCTCGTCCCATTCCTCCTTTCCTGAAGCTCTGCCGGCATCTCCTCCGGCAGCGTAGGCCTCCACTTGCTTATGCACACCCTGTCCAAGTTGGTGGGTTGCATTTGCTCCTTCCCTGGTGTGTTTGCACCTGCAGATTGGTGCCAAGCGGGCAGCTAGCAGGGCTGTGTGTGAGTTCATGTGATGGCGCAGGGGTTGTGGTGATCAGCGGATAAGGGCTGAGAGAAAAATGGGTGGACTCAAAGTTTCTACTACTCATCACTCCCTGTAAATCCCTCTTGCGAGTGTGCTTAGGTGTTGCCAGATGGTTGTTGCACGTGTGTGTTCCCTGTGTGCTGACCGAGCCCTGCCCACACAGCCGGCCTGGCTGCCCGTCCGTGAACTGCCCAATGACCACAAGATCTGTTAAGGGATAAGGGCAGCAGGTGGCACAGCAAGTCCCTGGTCTCTGGCTAGTGCCCTAGGACATTTCTTTCTCTCTTACATGCCAGGGGCCAGAGGTCCCACTGGGCTAGGACAACGCTGACACGCAGCCATCACCAGGGGGCAGTGACCCCAGCCGGGGCCTGTCGCTGGAGAGCGGTGTGTAGGAAACGTGCTCTGGGGGGCTAACATGACCAGTCACATTCCCAGAGACCAGGCTGGAAATTGGCGCCTGTCCTGGGAATCCCCCTCCCGCACCAGCCAGGCTGCTGCCCAGGGACTCTGCCCCACGAGGTCCCCCGGCCTTTGCAGCAGCTGCCTCCTCCCAGCCCTGCAGCTGTCTCTTACCTCAGATGGGGGAGGCCTGTTAGCCCTTTGGGGGCATCCACACGGCAGCCATGAGGGGCCAGGCCCAGCTCAGGGAGAGGGGCCCGCACTGGCTGAGCTCTGGAGAGGGGTGTGGCCGTGTTCCAAGGGACACACATATCAGGCCTCCCTGGGTGATGCGTCCTGTGCCTCAGTGTCCCAAAGCTCTAACACAGAATGAGCCACTAATGTTTGTGCCCCCCTCCTGCTGAGAGCTCTGCAGAGGGGCCCGGGCAGGCTGGGAACAGTGGGTGGGCACCGTGGCTGGGGTCACACACGCGCCTGGCGGGAAGGAAGAGGTGTATTGACTGGGGCAGGCCTGCTGTGGAGACAGTGTGTAGGTGCAGCCCCCACCCAATGCAAACGCGCCGGGGAATTGAATGATAATTGCCCTGGCCACACCAGCTTCTGAAACCACCAGCCTCTCCTGGGAGGGCAGATTCTCAATTCAGTTGTCTGTGCAGAGACAGACACAGGGATCACGAGAAACCCACACCCAGCAGGGCAGACACGCTCCTGTGTGGCTCATGCATCTGGCCGTGCTCTGGTCTCGCAAAGGCAAGGCAGGCAATGGACAACCGGGACAGAAAACACCGGGTTTATTCAGTGAATTTGCCAAAGCCCAGAGAGGTTCCAGCCAGTGGTGAGGCACTGGGACATACGTACACCCATGCACCGGGCACCCATCGCCACATGATAATACAGCATCCCCTTTGCATCGCCACTGCACCATGGAGGGACCTTAGTGGAAGCAGCTCAGATCTCAGACCTTCATTTCGAGACATCAGGAGCTGAGTGGCTCAAAAAGCACAGGGGGTCAGGAGAGCAGGTTCACCAGCAGCAGCATGGTAAGGCCCGGCAGGGAGAGGGCAAAGGAGAATTTCTCCAGAGCTGGACTGGCCCCACAGATGTGGTCATTTGTATCAGGAGTGGTTGTAGGAGGCTTGGTGGTAGTGGTAGCTGTGCTGGTGGTGGTTGCAGTAGGGGTGGGAGAAGTGGTAGTGGTGGTGATGGTGGTTGTGCTGGTGGTGGTGGTGGGTGTTTCGGTGGTGGTGGTGGTAGGTGTCTCAGTGGTGGTGATGGTGGTTGTATCGGTGGTGGTGGTGGGTGTTTCAGTGGTGGTTGTATCAGTGGTGGTTGTATCAGTGGTGGTTGTATCAGTGGTGGTTGTATCAGTGGTGGTTGTATCAGTGGTGGTTGTATCAGTGGTGGTTGTATCAGTGGTGGTTGTATCAGTGGTGGTTGTATCAGTGGTGGTTGTATCAGTGGTGGTTGTATCAGTGGTGGTTGTATCAGTGGTGGTTGTATCAGTGGTGGTTGTATCAGTGGTGGTTGTATCAGTGGTGGTTGTATCAGTGGTGGTTGTATCAGTGGTGGTTGTATCAGTGGTGGTTGTATCAGTGGTGGTTGTATCAGTGGTGGTTGTATCAGTGGTGGTTGTATCAGTGGTGGTTGTATCAGTGGTGGTTGTATCAGTGGTGGTTGTATCAGTGGTGGTTGTATCAGTGGTGGTTGTATCAGTGGTGGTTGTATCAGTGGTGGTTGTATCAGTGGTGGTTGTATCAGTGGTGGTTGTATCAGTGGTGGTTGTATCAGTGGTGGTTGTATCAGTGGTGGTTGTATCAGTGGTGGTTGTATCAGTGGTGGTTGTATCAGTGGTGGTTGTATCAGTGGTGGTTGTATCAGTGGTGGTTGTATCAGTGGTGGTTGTATCAGTGGTGGTTGTATCAGTGGTGGTTGTATCAGTGGTGGTTGTATCAGTGGTGGTTGTATCAGTGGTGGTTGTATCAGTGGTGGTTGTATCAGTGGTGGTTGTATCAGTGGTGGTTGTATCAGTGGTGGTTGTATCAGTGGTGGTTGTATCAGTGGTGGTTGTATCAGTGGTGGTTGTATCAGTGGTGGTTGTATCAGTGGTGGTTGTATCAGTGGTGGTTGTATCAGTGGTGGTTGTATCAGTGGTGGTTGTATCAGTGGTGGTTGTATCAGTGGTGGTTGTATCAGTGGTGGTTGTATCAGTGGTGGTTGTATCAGTGGTGGTTGTATCAGTGGTGGTTGTATCAGTGGTGGTTGTATCAGTGGTGGTTGTATCAGTGGTGGTTGTATCAGTGGTGGTGGTGGGTGTTTCAGTGGTGGTTGTATCAGTGGTGGTGGTGGGTGTTTCAGTGGTGGTTGTATCAGTGGTGGTGGTGGGTGTTTCAGTGGTGGTTGTATCAGTGGTGGTGGTGGGTGTTTCAGTGGTGGTTGTATCAGTGGTGGTGGTGGGTGTTTCAGTGGTGGTTGTATCAGTGGTGGTGGTGGGTGTTTCAGTGGTGGTTGTATCAGTGGTGGTGGTGGGTGTTTCAGTGGTGGTGATGGTGGTTGTATCGGTGGTGGTGGTGGGTGTTTCAGTGTCTGGGCTGGTGTGGGTGGTGGGGGATGTAGAAGGGGCAGGAGTTGCAGGAAAAGTTTCCCCAAAATAAAACTGAATGGTGCTGCTTGTAGTCTTCACGGTGGTTCCAGGTACAAGCTCCGGATTCGATTTTGATACGCAGCCCTTTGCTCCAAACCAGGAACGAGATGAACCTGTTGGAGAAATTCAGCCTGGTGTTAGTGGCAAGTCGATCCGGGTCCTTCTTCGCCCCTCTCCCATCTGTTCCCACCAGCCAGCAGTTCCCCCTCTGCCTGCCCTTCCCACCTGCCTGGGGTCTCCCTGCTCCGGCTGCACCAAGCCATGGCAGGGCAGGCTCCTGTCTCTCTCTTGCCTCCCTCGCCCCCCACAGGAGCTGGGCACTGGGGTTGGGAATGGAGCTGTGGCTGGGGTGGCTCCTTCCCCAGTGTGGCGCCACCAGGGAACAGGCCCCCTCCCCCATTCAATTCTGACCATCTGGCAGAATTAAAACTCTAGTAAAGAGTAAAATTGTCAGACACACGGAGGAACATAATTCGTTGGGGGAAAGTCAACCTGGTTTCTGTAAAGGGAAATCCTGCCTTACTAATCTGCTAGAGTTCTTTGAGGGGGACAACAAACATGATGACAAGAGGGATTCAGTAGATTTAGTGCACTTTGATTTCCAGAAAGCCTTTGACACGGTCCCTCACCAAAGGCTCCTAAATAAAATAAGTTGTCATGGGATAAGAGCGAAGGTCCTCTCATGGACTGAGAACTGGTTAAAAACAGGACACAAAGGGTAGGAATAAATGGTTAGTTTTCCAAATGGAGAGAGGTAACTAGTAGGGTCCCCGAAGGGAACATACTGGGAGGGGACTAATCCTATTCAACTTATTTATAAATGATCTAGAGAAAGGGGTAAACATTGAGGTGGACATACTTGCAGATGATACCAAACTGCTCATGATAGTTAAGACCAAAGCAGACTGTGAAGACATTCAAAAAGATCTCACCAAACTAAGTGATTGGGCAACAAAATGGCAAATCACATTTAATGTTGATAAATGTAAAGTAATGCACATTGGAAAAAATAATCCCAGCTCTATATACAATATGATGGGGACTAATTAGCTACAACTGTTCAAGAGAGAGATCTTGGAGTCATTGTGGAGCGTGCTCTGAAAACATTTACTCAATGTGCAGTGGCAGTCAAAAAAGCAAACAGAATTTTAGGAATAATTAAAAAAGGGGATAGAGAATAATATGGATAATATCTTATTGCCTTATATAAACCCATGGTACATCCACATCTTGAACACTGCGTACAGATGTGGTCACCTCATCTCAAAAATATATATTGGTGCTGGAAAAGATTCACAAAAGGGCAACAAAAACGATGATGAGTTTGGAAAGGGTCTCATATGAAGAGAGATGAAAAAGACTGAGACTTTTCAGCTTAGAAAAGAGGAGGCTAAGGGAGGATATGATAGAGGTCTATAAAATCATGACTAATATGAAAAAAAGTGAATACGGAAAAATTATTTACTTATTCCCACAATATAAGAACTAGGGGTCACCAAATGAAATTAATAGGAGGCAGGTTTAAAACAAATCAAAGAAAGTTTTTCTTCACTCAGGGCACAGTCAGCTTGTGGAACTCCTTGCCAGAGGATGTGGTGAACACTAGAATTTTAACAGGGTTCAAAAAAGAGCTAGATATTTTCATGGAGGTTAGACCCCTGAATGGCTATTAGCCAGGCTGGGTAGGGTTGGAGTCCCCAGCCTCTGTGTGCCAGAAGCTGGGAATGGACAATAGGGGAGGGATCACATGATGATTCCTTGTTCTTTTCATTCCCTCTGGGGCACTTGGCACTAGACACTGTGGGCAGACAGGACACTGGTCTGGCTGGGCCTTTGGTGTGACCCAGTCTGGCCGTTCTTATGTTCTTATGTCCCGGCAGCCTCCTCACTCCTCGGTTCAGTTATTTTATAACCACCCCAGAGTGCCGGGAGCCCTGGGCCACACTGAGAACAGGAGCTGCCTCATGGAGCAACAGCAGCTTAGCTCCACCTTAGACATCAAGGGGGTGGGGACTAGTGGTTAGAGCAGTGGGGGTGGGAGCCAGGACGCCTGACTTCTCTCCCCAGTTCTGCATCTCTGACATCACAACCCTTCCCCTGGCAAGTACCCCGCTGCCATCATCCCTGGAGCAGGGCGGCATCACTGGGAGAGGGTGGAGCTGGGCTGGGAGGGAAACGTCCCAATTCCTCTCTCCTTCTCTCTGGCCAAAACCCCTTTTGGCCACCCCATCTGCCCAGGGCTTGGCACAGACTCCAGGTCCCACCAGCTCTCTGGGGAGCTCTGGAGGCAGAATATTCCTGGGGCACCTCCCACCCTGCAACCAGCTGGCAGAATTTACCTTGGATCAACTCGCCATTGTAACTCAGGCAATCGGTTTCCAACCCTGTGCAGGGCATGATTTCGCCATCACAGAAATAGGTGTCCAGAGCAAAGCAGGTTGGGCACTGCCACCCGTTCGGGGTGGGGTCCATGGGCACTGAGAACCGAGACAGAGAGATGGTTACGGGGTTGGTTAAACCTGGTTAACACTGGGGGCTGGGCCCTGCCTCACCCAGAATGTGCAGACCCCTCCTGCAGCCGGGAGCATTTCTGTCTGGGACACAACAGTCGGCGACGGCCACACTGGCTCAGTTCTGGATCCCGGCGAGTGTGAAGGGGGAGCCGATAGGTTAGTTTTGAGCCTGTCCCAGTGGCTGCCTCCTCCTTCGCATGCAGCCTCCACCCGACTGATTGCGAACAGGCCCCGACTGTTCTACCCCCGCTCGGAGACCCTCCAACTACAGGGATTTCACTGGACACAGAAATGACATGGGAGGAAATGGAGTTTGGGGCAATAAAGGGGAGAAACAGGAACAAACACAATTGTGCCGGGGCTTGTCCACATGAACAATCCGACTCTACCAGGGAGATGGGGTGTGTGGAGTGGTTGGGGTGTGAATCTGCCCTGTGCCAATCCCTTGGCCTCTTTGTCTATGTGCATCCCGCTGACCATCCGGAGCCATTTATTAATGTGCTTTGAACTAATGCCCTTCCAAAGTGCTCCTCTGGTCGACCTGTGTGCATTGGCCGGGGCACACTGAGAGCAAGATTGACACCCAGCTCACACGCTCTAATAGTTCATGTGTCTGTTCCCTACAATGGGGACAATACAAACAGACCCACAACGTACCTTGAGGTACGGCTGAGTTGCACAAATCTGTGTTGCATTGTAGGACATTGATCCTCACGTACTGGTCCTTCCCCACGGTGAAAGAGAAGGGGCCTTTTATGTCACTGTTATAGCTGCTGAGACATTGCTTGGAGAAGAACGTCTGCTTTATCCCACCTTTGTGCAACAGAGAAAAGCAAATCAAAAACCAGGAGGCTGGGAGAGGCCCTCGGGTGGGGGCAGGGAGGGGATTTTACCCCTTTGTGCAACTCCTGGCATCCAGTGTCTGATTCTGGGGCCACAATTCAGGAGGGTGAAGAGGAGCCCAGGCCTAAACTGCCCCCCAGATTGCATCACCCAGGCTGAGGTTAGAGAGTATGTGTGGGGAGATGGGGCAGTGAGGGGCTAGGGTCACATCTCAGCTCACAACCACATTAATCTCAGGGAAGGCGCAGCTTGAATTTGGGTGGGAGTCTGTGACGGTGCTGGGAAAGTGTCCTAAGTGAGCTCAGAGGCAGAGGGGTGGGTGGGCGTGGCAGGGAATGAATAGGGAGGCAGGTCGGCAGACAGGTGACTGGATAATGAACGCCCACGGCACAGCTGGTGAGGTGCTACCATCATTCTTACAGGGCACATGGAAGGGGCCAGTCAATCTTGTACATTCAATGGAAGGATGAGTAAAACTGGGGCTTTCTCAAAGGACACACTGCGGGAACTGAAGGGAACTGGTGGAATCCACTGGCCTGCGGTGCTGGGGGGTTGAGCAGGGAGAAGGTTTGTTTGGCATCTCCGAGTCCAAAGTGGGGAAGGACTTTACATTTCCATTTACATGCCTAGAACAGGCAAACGTCATGTGAGGAAGGGCCCCAGGCCTGATCAGGTGATACAGGGCGTCGGACGGGCTTTGGGAGCGGCCGGCAGGGCCCAAGGGATCCCATCCCCAGACTCCTTTTCCACCCCCCTCAGAAAGTGCGTTTCTCCCCAGTACAGCTTCACTTGCTGCCGCGCAGCCGGCCTGTGAGGAGTTGAAAGCCCAATGGATGAAATCCCAGTAGCACCCGGGGGGTGACATTGGACCCCTGAAGTCAATGGGAGCTTTGCAACTTACCATTGGGGCCAGGCCTCCAGACTGACCGGCCTGCCAGTCGCTGTGTCAGAGACTGGAACGTTGCCAGAATCAACCAAGCACTGCACCCGGCTGGAGTGTGCTGTGCCGAGTGCCGGGGCTCCGGGAGGGGTGGTGTTGGCCTGGCTCTGGTGCCGAGGGAGGGGACAGAGGCAGGGTAAGATGTGCCTGGGGTGAAGACAATGTCACCTACCCAGGGAAATGTCTTCCACCACGGAGAGACAGCCGCCCGTCGCCGGGTCGTCTTGGCAGGTCCCTTTAACCAAATCGCAGGTCTCCGTTGGGCCCAAGCACACGTTGCATGTCAGGGTCCCTGCCGGAGAAGGAGAGCGAGTGTTTCCTTCGTCCTGTGGGCTGGCAGTGCCAGCTTGGACACGTCTCTTTGCCCCAGAAGCCTTAGCCTCCCACTAGTTCGAACTAAAGGGCTACACAGCCCTTAGTTCGAACTAGCTAGTTCGAACTAGGCGTTAGTCCTCGTAAAATGAGGTTTACCTAGTTCGAACTAAGCGCTCCGTTAGTTCGAATTAAGTTCGAACTAACGGAGCGCTAGTGTAGCGCCTAGGAAAGTTAGTTCGAACTAACGGACGTTAGTTCGAACTAACTTTCTAGTGTAGACATACCCCAGGACTCAGGGGCCGACAGACCCGTCATCTGGGCAGCTTCACGTCAGTCCTCAAGGAATCCATTTGGAAACACTTGGAGGAGAGGAAGGTGACCAGGAACAGCCAACGTGGATTCCCAAAGGGTAAAACCTGCCTGACCAGTCTGGTTGCCTTCTATGCTGCGGTAACTGGCTCTGGGGATATGGGGAAGTGACTGTTCCCCTTTGTTCGGCTCTGGGGAGGCCACATCTGTAACTTTGCATCCAGTTCTGGGCCCTAGGCGAGTGGGGATGCGCTGGGCTGGGTTCCCCTGGAAGAAAATGATTCGGGGGCTGGAGCACACGACCTACGAGGAGAGGCTGAGGGATTTGGGCTTGTTCAGTCTGCAGAGGAGAAGAGTGAGGGGGGATTTGGGAGCAGCCTGAAGCTCCCTGAAGGAGGGTTTCAAAGGGGCTGGAGAGAGGCTGTTCTCAGGGGGGCAGCTGGCAGAACAAGGAGCAATGGGCTCAAGTTGCTACCATAAGCTCCGTGTGAACAGGCCCTTGTGCCCCCAGGGCCAGTCCCAGCGCCCTGCACGTGCAGGAGGGGCCCTGGTGGGGGGAGGCCAAGGAGCCAAAGGCATCAAAGTCCAGGAGGGTTAAGTGGCTGCAGCTGCAGACGACTCACCTTGGGCACTGGCTGTCGCTAGGAGAGCAGGGAGGAGGCAGAGAAGTGAGGAAACCACCATGGTGCTGGGAGGAGTGAGGGGCTGGGCTGGGAGCTGAACGGAGCCTTCTCACGGCTGGTGCAGCGAGCTCTGCCGGAGGGGAGCAGGGGAGAGATGAGGCCGAAATGAGAACAGAAAGGGAATTCCAGCCGAGATTTGGGAAGGGGGTAGGAGGAAGCACCAGGAAACAGAGCTGCACAAATACCAATTATTGGTTCCCCGGCACCTCTAAAAAATGAAAATGTTGACAAAAATATTCTGGTTTGATCCAATTTCTCATCAAACTGAAATGCCAAAAAATATGGTTTGGTGCATTTTCAATTACTTAAAAAAATCTAAAATTGGTTTAATTATAATTTTTACAGTCAGCATAGAAAGGTAAAACCACCCTGAGATTGAAAAAAAATCAAAATGTCTAATTTTGAAAATGTCACATTTTTTCAAGATTTTTTTTTTGCGAGGGGGGAGTGGCTAAAATAATGTCGCAAAATTGAAACCAGTTTACAAAATTTTGGGGTCTCTCCAAACCTGCATTTTTTACTGGAGAAAGGTTTTGGTTGGAGAATTTCTCCCTGCTTTATTATGCCACACACATTCCCAGAAAAAACAAAACTGGGATTCTGTGGTGCAGCCCTGAGTCGCGCTATTTTTTAGTTTCACTCCTGCTCTCTCCTGCATTGTTTCCTGTATTTGTTTCATTCACAACAGCAAAGACCTTAGATCACGCTAATTATGCAAGACAGACATATTCCCTCAAGCTACTTTTTAAAAAATAGTTTGGTTAATATATCATCCATATGCACAGAAGTCAGACACAATTTTTATCACTCAAAATAAGAAATAAATTTTGCTTTAACCATGTAAAAAGTCATTTCACTGCTTTTATACCACACCCCAAATCTCTTCCTATCCCCTCCCTAAATTCTAGTATATAGATCTTAAGGCTGTCTCTACACTACAAAAAAAGAGTCGGAAAAAGATACGCAAATTACAAACTGCAATTTGTGTACCTCAATCCGTTTTTCTTATGGAAGAAGCTTTTCCGAAAATTGGCACATCTACACGATGCCACATTGCAGGAAAACTGCCTCTTTCTTCCTTATACAACCAGGTTTACAGGGATGGTGAAAGAACGCATCTGCTTTTCTGAAAAGAGCTGCAACATAAACATAGCCTTATTTAGGAAAACACTTGCTCTCTCTTGCTGACATTTTTGACAAGCTGCTGTCATGTGCTTTGCCCCGTGGCCCCACAGTCTCTTCTTCTTGCCCACCCAGCCACCCCCACAGCAAAGCACCTTTTCCTGCTCCCACGACTGTAGCAGCAAGGCCAGTGGTACCAGCAGGATTCCAATCCGGCTGCAGGGCTGTGCCCTGGACCGGTTTTCCCCTCCCCCATCCGCGTTGGCTCCAGGTCTGTAATATCACTTCTGAGATGGGGCGACCGGCACTGCCCACCCCAGGGCCAGAGCATCCTACTGGTCTAGAGAGGGCACCACAGTATTTCCATGTAGTTCTCCATCCCCTCTGGCAGCCGAAAGTCCTCCTTGGCTTTTCTCTTCTGCAGCAGAGACCCGAGGTGAGCACGGCTCCTCCTCCGGGGACACTCAGTTGAGTTAGAACCGGCCGAGTCTTGGGTGCCTCAAACTCACCATGCCCCACCGCGCATTACCTTGTATTTATCTTTGAGCCCACCTTGACCAGGTCTCTCTGGAGTTCCCGACTCACCTCGGTGTCTGTCACCTCTGCAGATTTCACCCCCTCACCCGGGAGCCAGCTCTTATCAACTGATAAATACCCATGTAGAAGCCCTGCCCTTCCGTGGGTGTCACCAGCTCAGCCCTCATTTCCACCATGGGCACCCAGCCAGCTATTTGCCAGAAACATGGAATGGCGCCGGTGAAGGGTGAACGGGTAATTAGCACCGCCCTGTGAGCCTGGTGACTCAGCCGGAAAGGGATGGATGCTGGATGTATCCCACTGCAAAACAGGGAGTTGGGCACGTGGCTCGGGGTTGGGGAATCCAGCCAGCCTGGCCTGGGCAGGTGGGGAGTGGCCAGAATGATAACGTGAGTGAGGGAGGAAAGGAGAGAGGGGTCACAGAGACCCACCGAAGGGCTGAAAACACCACACAGCCCCCCAGCCCGCCTTTGGGGTGCCTCTACACCCTGCACTGCCTCCTCCAGCCCTGGTAGAGAATTGGAGTAACCCTGGCTGGGTTACAGGGACTCGTCCCAGCTCTCGGGTGAACAGCCCCTTTGGACCAGAACCCCAGATCAATCCGTCCCACTCTGCATAAAGTTCACACAGAGCAAGCTCATAACATGCTCCCCCCTTATCCCTGATTCAGAGAAGTGCCCAGCTCTTGTCCCCCTCAAGGAACAATTACTTACACTGGGTTTATTAACCAACAAAAGTGGTTGTATTAGGTACTAAAGTTTCTATTTAAATGGTTGCAAGTGGTAACAGACAGATCAAAGTAAGTTACTAAGCAAAATAAAACAAATTGGCCAGGTAAGAGTCAAACCCTCAGAAACTTGTCACATGGAAGTTGGTCTCCTAACATTTGTCCTGATCATGTTGTCTCACAAACTGGGAAGCCTCCTAATTTGGGCCTGATCCTCCCCCGTTCATTCTTGGATGTTTCCCGCAAGCAGGTTGGGTGCTAATCTGGGGTGTCTGGGCATCTGGCGGCCGCCCCCATTGACCAGTTTCCCACCTAGAGAAAGATTTTGCCCCAGGCAGGATCCCTTTGTGCTCAGCTCAACCTTTGTCCCATTTCCAGGGGAACGTCCAAGCCCCACAAGGGCCTCCGGAAGCAGGTGCCTGGCCCCATGTCCCAGCAGGTCCCAGCCCAGTTCAGGCTCACAGGGGAAGTGAGACTGTGCACAGAGCAGTGTCCCCAGATACCGGCCGCTGTCTCCCTTTTGTAGCACTACTGGCCTCTGCTTCGCAGAGTTAGGTCAGTACACGCAGTGTGTGTTCCATATTGCTAATGTCAAACATGGGAATGCTACAGGCAGCCAGATAGAATATCCATGTTCTGGATAAGAGAGTATGTTGCATGACTCATTTTGCATAAAGCCTCCCTGAGTTAGGCATATTCATATTCAGAAGCCTCTTTTCATAAAGTCTAGAGGAGGCGGGACCCCTCCCCCAGTGAGATCACAGCTAGAGAGCTGGGCCATGTCCAACATTTTTGTTGTGCTCTGCTTACACATCCACCCAGGGTCATTATCCTGTGATGCCATTCACAGGTGTGTTTACGAAGTTTTAGGTCTCTGTCGCCCGTGTGCCAGAAAACATTTTGGGTGCAGCCTTGCCCCAGAAGGCACGTAGTGTAGAGTTCCTGGCATTTAGCCACTGATGCCATGAAACGTTGTGCCTCAGTGTCCCCTGTCACACAGCATTCTGCTTCTCACAGCCTGTGATGCGCTTGCTGCTATGCCCGCGTCTAAGCCTATTTTAGCTTAGGAGCTCTTGTCCCTGCCCCTCACATGTGCAGATGCTTTCTCCAAACCTCATGGGTCTCCCACAGTGTCCTGGGGTTTCCCATCGGCTCAGTCCCTTTGGTGGGTCCCGTGTGTGTTGTGGAAAGAGTCACAAAGTCACCAGCGAGTTTGTGACAGGGCGGCAGTTCCCCGGATGGCTGCTGTACCCCACTTCTGGATCAGCCATGTGGCTTTCCAGTGTTTATTGCCCCAGCCAGGCCTTTGTGCTCAGTGCGTGCAGGTAGCGACGGGTTCCCTTTCCTCCAGGGAAGGTTTCCGCATCACGTTTGTCGCGTGGCTGGGGCGGGGGGAAGGATTGGCCATAGAGCTGCACCCCTGCCGACCCCCAGGGCTGCACCCACACGAAGGACTGACCCAACCCCTGGCTGATTCTCTGGGATCCTTGCTCCCCGGTTGGGATATTGTCAGCCCCTCCCCTGGTGATTTATTGGCCTGTTCACAGACACGGGCCGTTTTGGTATGAGCTTCATCCACCATCTCAGGTGGACAGCGGGAGCTTGTGACAAACAGTCACAGTCTGGAGAGGAATTAAAGAGCCGCTCTCGGATTCCTCAACCCCCTCTGTGGCTTCGCCTTCCCCTCCTTGGGCTTCAGCCCCAGTTCCCTCCGTACTGCTCACAGCCCTGGGGACAGATGCAGCCGCATCACTGATAAAGTGTCATGTTGTGTGACACAGCAACTATCAGCTCGGTTTGGGTCAGCTCCTTCCCACCTGGGCCACAGCCAAAGAAGCAGGAGTCTTACGGCCTCCAGCCAATCCCAGCTCTGCAGTGTCCCCGGCAGAACGTTCTTCTCATTACTCAGGTGCCCCGTTGACAGAAATCTCGGCCCCCGTGTCCCTCGCCCTAGAGTTCTACAGAAGAGCGGCCAGGCTTGGTCAGAGCAAAGCTCCATCCAGCCAGTGTCCCGGCTGCCCTGTGGCCAATGCCAGGTGCCCCAGAGGGGGAGAACAGAACAGGTTCCCAGCCGTGTGTTCAGGCAGCAGGCAGATGCTCCTTGCTTGGCTGTGCAGTGACCTGCCCCAACCCAGTGTGGGAAGCGGCTGCTCTCTGGGGACCCCCGTGCTCTGGGAAGCAGCATTTTCATGAGTTACCTGCTGCTGGTTCCACTCAGCCCTGGGCATTTGCTCCCCCTGCTCATTGGGACCCGGTGACAGCCCGTCTGGGCTCCTCTGGCTGTGAAGGGGCTGGAAACGGGAGTGAATTGGGGAAGGAGAAGCCCCAGCCTCCCCCCCACCCTCCTTCCCAGGGTACCACAGGGCCTTTACCTCCCACCCAACTGACACCCCCTGCCTGTGATTTACCCCTGCCACGGGTGGGATTGTTCAAACTGATCAGCAGAGGTAGCAAGAGATTCTGCTCCTTCCCCCTGTCTGTTCCACAAACACTGTTTCACAAGGGCTGTAGCCACATTCAGGAGCTGTTCCTGAAGAACCCGCTTACAGGTCCCTTCATCGCCTGCCAGGCCTGTCCCTGACTCACTCATCTACCAGATCTGCCAGCTGGCTCTAAGCCCTTCGCTTCCAGCTTCGAGAGGGTGCCCTGGAGATTCCCGGTGTCATCTGAGACTGCTAAAACCAAACCCTTATATTGACCATCGTCTGC